TCCTGGGATTACAAGCATGAGGCACACTTCACAGTTATAAAGAGAAACCTGAAGAACAATTGTGTGTATTCCTCTTAAGAAAAGTCACGTTTAAGGTTAATTTTTCTTTTAGGCAAGCAAAAAACCCATATGACCTATTGTTCTTTCATAAAAGAAGGGGGCAAACTGGAGCAACTGCCTGTGATTCGGGTCACAGACTAGCTTTCACAGAGGTAACCCAGGAAAAAAGCACTGCTGAGAGTTTTGGGGATGCTATCCTTTTTGGAGAGCCTGAGGCTATGATTGCTCAAAGCAACCACCACGACCACCACAAGAGAGAGAAAGAGAGAGGGACCCAAGACTACAAACAAACCCCTCCAAACCCTGGTCAGTTGAGTCCATACAGTAGAAAGACAAATTGCTCACTTGCAGTCAAGCACAACTATTAGGGCTTCATTCTAATTCTATCTTTGGAGTTTCAAATGAGTTCTGTCATCCATTATTAGGGCACCCATAGGCCCAACTTCATTCTTCCTTCCTCACGTCATAGAAGTGGAGAGACCCACAGTTCTCAGTGGTAACCCCGGTATGAATAACACCATGAAGCCACATACTACTTTATGGAGTGTCTTTCTTGTGGTCTAGTAAGTATGGGCATGAATTTGAAATCTAATGGGCATGGATTTGAATCCTGCTCTGCTTCTTTCTAATTTGTGATTGTGGGTAAGTTTTGCAACTCTCCGAGCCTCTGTTCTCATCTGTAGAATAGAAATCTTAGCGTCCACCTTGCAGAGAACTTTGCAGACCTCTCAGGGGCATTGTATACAAATGCAGTGCTTCTGGGATAGAGCCGGGTCCTCAACATTCAGACGTGGGCTCCCTTCCCTCTCCCTTCTGTGCCTCTGCCCATAACCACCCTCCCCGCCCCGACCTCTACCCTTCAGGCTTTTTATCAGAAACTAACCAGATGCCAGGTGCTATAATGAGACCATCTAAATGGAAACAGGTGTTGATGAATGAGGCTCCTCATTCATCTTGCTCCTAGGTTATGACTGAGTTTTCCTTTCTTCTTATTTGTGGTAGGCTTAAACGGTTGCTCTGAAATTTCCCCTTGACAATTTCTGTTTGAGCTTTTGTGAAAGCCGCTGGTCATAAACAAAGAGGACTCTGGGGAGGGAAAGTCAAGGAAAGAATATGCAGGAAGCTTGAGATAGGGAAGAAGGAACAGAAATGAAAACGTTGTCTGGCTCAGGGAAACATGGCGAGTCTCCCTCTCAACAAACACTTACTGAGCACTTAACATACATGGGCTCAGCTTTAAAATGAGATGCCCAAGAATTGGGAGGCCTAATTCCTGCCTTTACATGCTTAGGGTCTAAATGGACGGACAAAAGACTGCAAAAGAGCAACTGCAGCCTAGCGACAGGTGTTGATCATGTAGTTGTGGGAAGGTTTCAGACTGGTGGAGCAACAGGGTGTGTTTAATCAAGAATTCCTGAAAGACGCAAGTTTTGAGTCAGTTGGCAGGAGATGAGGGTCATGGGTGGAAAGAGGGGAAGAACAGTTGCAAGGCCTAGCTCAGAGGTTGTTCCCGGTGGGTGACAGAGCCCCATTCTCCTCAATGCTGTGAGCATCTCCCTGGACCTGGGCCCTCTTCCACTGCAGGGACCCAGGCCTGGGGGCTGAGCTGCAAGGGATCTAACCTCGCTGGATCGGAGGACTCCGAAGAATGGGTAGAGGAAGGCGGGCACCAGGGCTGCAGCTCCGAGAGGCACTGCCTCAGACACCCAGTACACAGCAGTCACGATCAACACGTAAGCACATGCAGCCTCCTGAAAGGGGAGGAAAGACGTGGTCAGTCACAGGTACAGTCACTGTCACTGAGCATACGAATGAGACCCAGGCCTGAGGCAGTAGGCACTCCGCTCTGACATAGGCACCAGGATACAATCCCACTCTGGAGTTGGCAGGTGAGTATGGTGGGCACGTGGTGGGGCCCATCATTTTGTGGGTGATAATGTGGCTGCTCCTTGGGGTGACTGCTGTCTGATGCAGTCTGCATTGATGTGCAGCAGAGCCACCAGTGGACGGTCGCAATTTCACAGCTCTGCTGGCTCCTGAAACTGCTGAGGGTGGGGATTGAAATTAATCGCAGTGTCCAGACCCAAGTTCATAAACTGTACAGGTGGAGTTCAACACTAACTTGGACTGCGACACAACAGATTGATGTCGAGTTGATCAGATATTAAAGGTTCTTGGGTGGCTGAGGTTAAGAATCACATGTGAGTGCTGAGGTCAGCCATCCTGAGTTAAACACACATGCATAAGGTATGATGACACGGGGGCATTTGGCATGTACCCAACATGAACAGAAAACAGATCAGTAAGAAGTGAAATCTACAAATAATGCAAAAGGTGCCTTCCATACTGTGTTCACATAGCCCCTGGGGTACGTCTCAGGACTATCTTGGGAAGACCAACAAGGTCTGGAATCCAGAACCCCCACCCCAGAGTAGCTCGGTTTTCATTTGATCATATACTGACATTTTATGGAAGGATTTATTTAAATAAAGACTTATTGCTTTAAAAATAAATAAATGAAGTTAAATCCCCCTGCTTTAGACTATTTGCTGAAACAACTCAGTAGTAAACTTTAATCAGTTAAATTGTTAGGCAAGAGCTAGGTGACTATTTTCCTCTTCAGTTTGTGATATAGGTTCCGTCACAGGTGATAGATATTATCACATTGTGCTAATATCTCAGGAATGAATTCTTCTCCTGGGGGCCTCTTTGAAGAGTTAGCAAGAAGCCAAGGGCGCTGAGCATTGGGAAGACAGGATGGAAGACATTGGCAGCAATCCTGAGAATGGGACTCTGTTTGGGTGAGGAAGGAACATGAACTCCTGTGCATGTGCAGCCCGTGCACTGTCAACATTTAGGGCCAGACAGGTTCTTGTTGCAGGGGGTCTTGTGGCCCATAAAATATTTAGCAGCATCCTTGGCCTCTACCCACTAAATGCCAGCATCCTCTTTTCCGTTGTGACAACCAGAAATGTCTCTAGACATTTCCAGATGTCTCTTGTTGGGGAATAGGAGGGAGTCAAAATTATCCCTGGTTGAGAACTACTGCCCCAACCAGGGTCTGGTTCTCACTGCTCTTGGGCTCCATTCCACCTGCCTGATGCCACAGAAACTTCCTTCTACAAAGGGAACAAAAGAATCATCTATCTAGAAGGAAGGCCTGGAAAAATTACCAGTGTTATCGTAGTCCACTACATTGCTGTTTGTGTGACCTAGGGGTGCACAGAGGAAATAAGTACACTACCTTATTAAAAGCCAGACCTCCTTGACCTTGGCTTCTAGTAATGCCAAGAGCTCTGAATGGCACTGATTAACAGTGCTGAGAAAGGTCACTGGCTTACTCTTGGCAGAGGTCACTGTCCAAGGGCCTTCGTAATGGAAACCTCACTGAGCCCTGAGACTCAGAGATCTCTTTATAGAAAATGCAAGTCGGCTGTGGGATCCTCAGTTTTCACATACTTGTACACATCAGGGCTCGAGTCTGACCTGCCCTGAGGCTGGCTGCTGACCAAGGAACCTGACAAATCTTGTTCTGTTTATTGCTCCTGGAGTTCAGAACAGGCATCCTCAAACTCTTGCATAAAAGTTACAAAAGGTCGCTGTATCAGTGAGGGGCAGCGGGAGTGATTACCCAGCGGGAAGGGGCCTTGCTCCCTCCTGATGTTCCTTATGGGGTTGGGGGCTGAGAACCGGGAACTGGGCCCAGCGATTGTTGACTCTCACACTGAGATTCCCTCTGGGGCCAAAAGCTCAGAGAGAAGATAGAACTTTTGGAATTGCTGATAAGACAACAGAATCAATAGTGGAAAAAATATGACTCCACTTGGAAAAGAATGCAGTTTAGAGAAATAACCTCTTTGCTGCAGGAAAAAAAAACTATCTAAGAGAGTTCAAAGCCCCTTGTTCTCATCTCTTTTCTAGGAAAGAGATAAAATGGCAGGTCTTAGCTCTAGCTGAAGGGAGAGGACAGGATGTCTGCCCCTCATGAGGAAGCCCTTATCCCCTGCCCCAGAACCCTCAGTTTTTGTCCTGATAATTACAAGGCCACATATCAAAGGGAGTGTGGGGGAGAGAAGATGGGGAGAGAGGAAAAGAGGAAAGAAAGAGAGGAAGAAGATGAGAAAGGAAGGGGGGAGGAGAGATAGACAGAAGACTTTCCCTTTCCCAGGCATAATTTTGATTTGAATTAGGAGAATGTGGGTAAACTTGAGCTAGACTTTTTGATTGTAAATGTCAGTAAAAGCTGGAGTAGGTTAACTGGAGGAAGTCACCAGGCTAATCTTTGTCTAGCAGTATTAATAGGATAAAACGCTGCCATTTTTATCTGTCCTTAGAACAGAATAAGGAACAAGAGACACCTTTAGCTATAGCACCGTGCGTTTCTTACTTAGTTCACCTATGAAATCTCCGCGACCTGCCTTCTCAATCTTCTTAAATTCAGTAGGTAAGCTTATATTCAGACAACCCAAAAAACTCTGTGAAGGTTACAGGAGTCTGGTGTTCATAGCACCTAACCAAAGGCTGGCAAGAGGCTCCATTAATGTTGAATAAACTGACTTGGTCTCCTCTGCTGGCTAACAGGTCTCTCTAATCTTCTGGAGAGAATTTTCTGGAACCCCGAAGCCTTTTATCAATGTCACTGGCCCCTCATCAGCAGGTGTGGGGAAGTTGGGGAGTAGTCAGACGATCCCTTTAAGGGAAAGCATGGGCAATTTTTTTGCTCCTGTTTACAAATAAAGGAAAGTGTCCCAAAGTGGTATTTCCTAGGTAGGATGCTTTCTCCTTTGCTGCTAACTTGGGCTTGGAACAGCCCCTACTCCAGTTTCACTGGAAGGGACTTGACGTGTTAATTTTAGCTGGGGAGGGTGGGGTGTAAATTTTACCCCAGTGGGGATCCTAAAGAAGGGCTTAGTTATGGACCCCCCTCTTGTACTCTCTTTTTCCATAATATGATAGACGTCTGGAGTTAGAGAACTGGGCAAGAAAAAGGGGAGGGGTCATTTTGACCCCTAAAATGTAGCTGTGTTCGGCCAGGAGCCCTCCCCAGGTACTCAGTTACTTCTCTCAGCTCTAGCCCAGAGCAAGCAAATCCACATAGGAATTTTAAGGAGTAAATAGCAGAATCTAAGTTTGATGCAAGGTGTGAAGGATCATTCCCTCAAATCAACCTGGTGTTAAGAGAAAAAAAAAGCCATGAAAAGAAAAGAAAAAAAATCAGGTCCATTTGGACAAAGCAGAAAATCGACCAGCACATACAGCCCAGGAAAAAGGTCAGCAGCAATCACTGCCTGCTAATCCCAGCCCTGTTTTAATTAGCATCTCCCTGGCACTCTGCAGTATTTATTTTACGAAAGATTTAAACCAGTTTGTTTCTAAGAAGAACCATTCTAATCCCCCCATTTAACTTTTTGACTTAATCTTGGTTACCAAGTTACTCAAGGAGCTGCGTGGAAGGCATTGTTCTCCTCCCCACAAAAACCTGTCTTAGCTTATTTTTCCTAAAATCTCAAGGTCAGGGCCAGCTGGGGGAAGGAGGGAAGCCACAGGCAGGAGGAGAACAGAGAAGGGAAGGAGGTAAGGTCTGAGAGGGGAGCAAGCACAGGCTGGGGCAGGAAGTAGGCCCCAGTGGACAGTACTGTATGGGGCTCTGATTTCTCTTTTATCAGGCCGTTTTATGTCAGCCTTTCAGGATCACAAACACAGAAGACACAAGTAATTCAAGGCCATGTGCATGGGACCCAGGCAACATGCCAAGTCTGCCTCAAACCGAAAGGTTCTTTCCCTAAACTTCGCAGGGCACGTTAGGGATCAAGAGCTTCAGCTGTGGTTACCAGACCTCTCAAGACCCGACCACAGACCCTGGGGCATCTCCACGTCCCCCCCCCCACCCTGTCCCAGCCTTCTCCTCTACATCATTCCTGGGAGCTCTTCTTGTGTCTCCAGTTGCTCTCAGATACAGATGGTCACACGGTGACTCCTGACAAATACAGGCACACTGGCCTGTCCCTGTGGGCCCTTCCACCTGCCCCTGCTCCCTGCTGGCCCAGCTGTCCTGGTGGCCCCCACCCTTGCTCTGTGCTGACTCTGAACCTAGGGCTGGAACGGGGGGATGAAAATGACAGCTTCTAGGAAGCAGGTAAGTTGGTTTCCTCCAGAAAAACACTTCCATTTGTTCCGACCCACCAAAGGCCACTTTTAGGGATGGCATGATCTCCCCCTCCCACGTGGCCTCCTCCACCCTCCCCTCGGTGCCCTCCCACCTGGTCCCGGCCGCAGGTGTGCGTGGGGGGACAGGCTGGTACTCACGCTGCTGGGGTGCAGGACGGGCAGAGGCAGCAGCAGGAGCGGGACGCAGATGACTAGGAGCAGCTTGCGGGCTCGGAGCAGGCCGTGCAGCAGCCCCATGGCCCTGGGCTCCTCTGCTCCCCTAGGCTGCTCTTCAGCAGAACCCCTGTGCACGGCTCTCGTCCAGAAAGACTTCTAAAACCTCTCTTGGCTTCCAAGAGTCCTCTTTTGTCTTGGGGGCAGAATGGGAGCGCAGTTATACCCCCGTGTCCACCAAAGGCTGGACTCCTGGCCTCCCTCGTTAGGTGGGATTGATGAGCATAGTTTTATGACCAGCAAAAAGGAACTGGGAAAGGATCAGAAACGGGGGCATAGTGGGTTCCCTCTCTGCTTGATCAGTAATGGAGTAACTTCATTCCAGGCGTCAGCAAGAGTCCCCTTAACCAATTAAAATGACACCTTTGCTGCCGCTGTTTGGCCTTGAAGAAATCATTTAAAAGCTTTAAAAAATTAAAAATACTGAGAGCCGATCCTGCTCTCCATCATTTCTCCTCCCTCTGATGGCCTATTCTGGGGAGTCCCTGTTTCATCTCCTACCTGTGCCTGCTGTTGGTAAAAATCTAGTAGCCC